AGTATGATAAGGAAATGGACTAATTTGTAAGTTTCACTTACAAATAAGAGTGTTAGAAGCGATTTTGGAAGGCTGCTATGCGTTTTCGGCCAGCCCTTGGGTTTTCGGCCCAATGAAGATCTTGGTGTTCTTGGTGAAACCAAGGAGATTCGAGGGTTTTAGGCTGAAGATCACCAAAAAGGAAGGTGATATCTTGATGAAATGAAGAACACTTGATGTTCTAAGCAAGATCCGAAGGAGATTCAAGTCGAATTCGGATGATAGTTGAGAGAGAATAAGGGGTTTTCGGTTGATGTGTTTAAGAGAAAAGCTTGAGTTTTCGGTTATAAGTGTAGAAGTGAGGAAGTGATTTCGGTTCCCCCATATGCATAGGGCCGAAATCGATGATGGGACACATTCGTTGGTTTACGCACCGAGAGGATAAGACCGAGGTTTGCGGCTGCGAACCGAGGGTTTGCGGTCAGAAATAATTAGTGGCTGCGAACCGAGGGTTTGCGACCAGAAGCGAGTTCTCGGCCAGAGGCGGTTTGCGGTCCGAAGTCTGTTAGAGCATGCGATGGTTTTCGGTCCTTGCGAGATTTCTCGGATTAAGTACTTCACTTCTAATTTTAAGCAACACTTCTAATAAAAGGCTTTTAAACACATATAGATTTTAAATCTAACTTAATAAGATAGATCAAAACAATAAGTTTGACTTTAATTGACTCAAGTTTGACTTTAATTGACCCAAGTTTGACTTTTACGAGATCGAAAATAACGGGTTGTCACATTTGGGGTGGTTCTTAATGGGTAAAGTTGGAACCCTTCTAGACATATTTTTAGTCTAGATCTGGAAGATAGGGCTTCAGTTTGAAGAATAGTGGCTTAATGCATTAAGTGGGTTGGCCGATCGAAGAACTCGACGAGTTCTTAAGGGAACTCGGCGAGTTGGGTTGGGTTTGTCCCGATTGTGTTGAAAAAGGAGGAATTCGACGAGTTAAAGGGGAAACTCGACGAGTTGGATCGAAATATCGCGATTCTGTGCTTAATGGGAAACTCGGTGAGTTATGGGATAACTCGACGAGTTGAGTCAACTTGGAGCGTTGACTTTGACTTTTGACTTATGTTTTTGACCAAGTTTGTCCTAAGGGGGTGTTTGTGGTAACCTGAATTGTATTTAAGGGAAATATGGCTTAGGATAAGACCCATATGGGATCGGGCCTAATTTGGAAAATTGGGCCATTAGTGGGATTTTATGGGTCTTATAGTTTTGGGCATTGTTGGTTTTGGACTTGGGCCTTGGTCGTGAGTCTTGATGGGCCAGGGGCAAAATGGTCATTTTACACCAAGTTTGGATTATGGATCATGGTTTGGATTTCAGTTGCTAATTGGATGTTGTTTGGGTATTGATAGTTTGGGAAGTCGTCAGGTCAGCAACTAAGGTTTCGTGCAGTGAGCTTCAACATTCGAGGTGAGTATCCTCATTGTTCTATGGGTCGATGACACCAATGCCGACCCATTTGGTTTATGTATTGTAGGAAGA